TCTTCACCCAACACTTCTACTCGAAATGGAAATAAGCTCAACAATATACAAGTTCTCCATATCTGCGATCCCACAATAAAATTGGATATTGGAGAGATCTGGTTCTCCTTAAAGGTCAGTCCACCGGCACTCGTGACTGTAAGACGCATAGGACCTAGTTTCACATCATGTCGGGTTGCTGATGACGCCAGGCTAAATCGAAACTACAGTTCCTTCTGAATGATTGTACTTTTTAAGGAGAAGGGCCAAATGGCCCTCTATGGTATCGTGAAATCTATCCATTTCATTGTGGCAGATTCAACTAGCACTACCTGCTTCACTTTGAGAGGACAAGGCTGATTTAAGTTCCTAGTTAAGAAGAAGTTCGTGCAATAGAAAACACTCCATTGCATTGACATAAGAACGAGAACCGTGTATCCCTTGGACAAGTAAATTAAACACCTCATCGTCTAAAACAATTCAGATAACGAGTCACTTAACTAAGCGTTCTCTAAGCCATATTCTTCTCTTCTACACACGCCTTTACATCTCGGCTTTGTCGTAGGCGGCATACGCCCGCCCTCTGCGTCTCTGGAGGCTGAGCATGATTACCAAAATGGGCTATTTTGGCATCACATCCAAGCTTTCCCGGCAGTCCTTCTTGTCTCCACATCTGGGGCCAACCAAGGCCGCAGCTCACACAGTTGTCCCGATTGTTGACAAAATCTGTTCTTTTAAGCCATAGACTTGATGAACCTGAGGCTAATGGAAGATGGAATATTGTACAAATTTTTCGAGCAAGATCACTTTGGTCCGTTTGCCCTGTCATGGGCATTTTTCTGATGAAATTCAAGCCCTCGTATCACTTGATCCTGCCGCGCCCTAGAAGCCCGTGAACCCCGTCTTGAGTCTTTGGAATGGTCACCAATGCCATAAATAACTTCAGCCATCTTAGTCCCGAAAAGAGCCGAAAAGGTTTCTCTTTGACCTCCGATGCACTTATAGAGACTCCATTTCGTTCAGGCAAGCTAATTCTATGGTCATAGTTGATGGATTTTGCCTATTGTCCAAATGTGCTCGTGTGCTGTGGTTGCAATGACATCCACTTTCGAATACAAGAAGGTCAGGAAAGGCGTGGGCACAAAATGAGCACGACCCAATTCAGGCCTAGTTGGGGTGTTCTATTGGTCGCGACCTTGCGAAAATGGACATGGCTCATGTCAATGAAAAGAAAATGGTTTGATCCTTTCAGTATTTGCAGTCTATTTTCAGAGTATGGACTTGCCTTGATTTCGCTTTTCCAATTCAAGCCTAGTTACTAGAATGAATGTACGCCGCACTTTTTTTCTGCCGTTGGAGCCACATGTTCCATATCATTGAAGCTCCGATGGGACATATTCCCAAACGTTCTGGTCGACATCTTCAACTGGTAGGGCCATGAGTAACATCAAAACGCTTTTTGTCTAATTAGCAGATA